TCACAGTATTTCTACTCTATCCCCAGGTGACAGTGTGCTCCACACATCTGTATCACAGTGGATGTTCAGCATCTGCTCTCTTGCATTTTCCTGCAGTGTATTTCTACTCAGTGCAAGGTTGGTAGTCCTTATGAGGACCAGAGAGGCTGTATCTCTGACTGCAGTCTGTGTCAGGCAGACCTTGTGCACCTCAGGCCCAGAAGTGTGACTTTCGCTACCTTTGTGCCCACCCTTCCTAGCAAACAACCCTGCATCCTACCGTCATTGCTGGAGCACTGCATCATTGCTCCACTGGGCTTCCTGCCTTTCTCCTTCTGGAGGCCAAACTCTGCTTTTAATTAGCATAGGATTCAGGATGTGCAGAGGTTTCCTGTCCTTGACCCCCAGTGGCAGGTGACTTTTTTACCTGATGTCAGTCCAGGGTGTTTCCTACAATGAAGGACCACTTCATTGGACTCAGGTCAGAGACGGGAGGCAGGGGTGAGGATTTCTTGCCCCTCCAGGAACATATAATTCATACCCAAGTCACAACCGAGCCCTGTCGTGGGGTTAGGACTGTCTCCTGCTTCTCCCCCAGCAGGAGCTGCTTCTACTTTCTATGAGAGGACTGTCTGGGGTGCCCACATGCTTTCTTCTCATCCCCAGGAGCAATCACCATCTGTGCCCCTGCGGGGCCCGGGCCTTATGCACCTGCTGTTGCTGTACCCGGAGCCTTCGCAGGCCCTTGGTGAGCGTGACTGTCCTGCAAGTTCTCCCAGGCTCCTCCCCTCCCCAGTCTTCCTCGGGAGCCAAGGACTGTGTAGGGTGGGTAGAGTCTCCCTGCGTTTAGGCCTCCCAAAGATACTACACTCAGATGCTGTCCCGTACTCAGCTTCAAAATATGTTACAATATCAGCTGTTTTCTTCTTATCCACTGTATGGCAGTCCTTCATCTTCCTGTGATCTGCCAAGCTGCCCCAAATGAGAGAGTGTACACCCTGTCGTTCCTCAGAGGGACTTGTTGCACTTTGGAATTCAGTTGGATGAAGAACTTGGTCTTTGTGGGTCACAAAAGAAGAAAAAGAAAACTTTTTTTAGATTACTTTATATGGCTCTTTCCCACATATGGTGGGACCGGTATTCTTTCACAGCTTTCTTCACCCTAAACGGGAGCAGATCTCCTGCTTCCCTTGTTAAGAAACTTCCAAGCAGTTTTGAACGGGGCTGCAGAACCCTGCAGGGTCCAGCTACACCTTTTCCCTTCCTTGCTGTGCTCCAGGAGCAGGCTTACTCTCGCCCTTTGTTCCTCAGCTGTGCCAAGAGTGTACCACAGCAGAGCTCACCCGTGCTGCTCACGTGGCCTAGAGAATTCTTTACCGTGTCTGTGCCTGGATGGCCCCAGCCCCTCCAGGGGTCCTTCCTTGCCCCTACACCCCTATCTGAGTCGGAGCTCCATCCGTTACTTCCTGATTCTTCTTCATGTCTGGCCAGTATCCCATTACTTGGTTATAGGATATTTCATCAGATTCCATTGGTGGTCTTTCAGATTAGTTCTCATCACATAGATGAGATGGTGAGCAAGAAGAAATGTCGAACCTGAGACAGTGGTTAAGAGCCTGGCTTCTGCCTCCAGCCAGCTGTATAACTTTTGGCAGGTTTACAATCTTTCTCTGCCTCCATTCTATCGTTTCTGAAGTAGGGACAGTAACAGGACTTCTCACGGATTCATTGTGAGGATTAAGTGAAGTTGGTACATGTATGATCCTTAGAACAGTGGCAAGCACCTAGCTGCTCAATAAACACCAGCTCTTATAATTATTAACATTTAAAATTTTAGACAGATTTGACAGGTTTCTCTTCATAACCATGTTTTATAATTTTACATTTTCATCAATGTAAGAATGACTGTCTCTTCACACTTTCAATACTGTGTCTTTCAAAACTGCTTTTTAGTCTTTGCTAATGTGATAGATGACCATAGCAGCTCCAAGTTGTTTAAGTTCTGTGTCACTTATTAAGAGTGAAGGTAAGCATATTTTCAGATGGTTAAGTCATTTGTGTTGCTTGTGTCCCAAATGCTGTATGTGCTACCTATATTGTTATCATTTTTGTCATGATCTTTTTTCTTATTGATTTGTAGGAGTTATTTATGTGTTAGGGAGTTTAGCTTTTGTCTGTGCTATGAGTTCTTGTTTCATAGTATGACATATTTTCTTCATAGTACTTATATTTAATGTCTTAACTTATTATGTTTAAAGTTCTACAAGATCAAAAATCTATGTCCTTTTGTACATCATTGTATATCAAGGACAAAGCAAAATGCTGATCACATAACAAATAATCAATAAATGTTTAACTAATGAATCATGGGGCCAAATATGACAGAGAAGGTATTTGATATATAAATAGATGGAGAAATTGGAAAGAAAAACATTTTATGTGGAAACACGATGAGTTTGATTTTGGATATGTTGAGGTCTAGGTGACAGCCAGTATTCTAAGTTCAATATGTTCAAGACTTTTACTTTGGCAAGGACACTCATGCAAATTTTGGAGTCATCACCATGAAATTTTTGATTGGAAACAGATGATCTCTGGTGGAAAGAATGCTATGTGAGGATTCACAGACAAACACTTCCAATCAGGACCAATTTCAGGTGCTTATAGTTGTCATAACGGTTTTAAAACAAATATGAAAAGGGAAAAATAGAAACATTATATATTCACAAGTATAAAGATTTTGTGAATGTAGAAGTATTTCCATATTTAGAACAATAATGATTACTTAAAAGTATTTAGCTATGTTGTAATTACATCCAAAGCATTTATTGTGAAGAAATGAGACCATTTAATAATGTAAAAACTGTGTCCATCATAGTCATATAAGCTTATGGAGATCGAAAGTGCTCTTTTTGTATGAAGTAGGCTACTTGTGTTTTCCAATTTGTAATTGGACAGTGATTGTCTTTTCTGTTACTGAATTATCACAGAGAGATTAATCACTATTCATTTAGTCTCCAAATCTGTTTTCACAGATTATGTTAACTGTATAAAAACTAAGAAACTAGTCAATCTTCTCCAAGGATACACTTATTTTCTCAGAACAGGGAATTTATCCTAAAATATTCTCTACATACTACTTAATCCACAGGGATATTTATAACAGCAGTTACCAAATAACCATTTTGACTCAACTGCTTATGAGTTATACCTTTATACATTTATTACGATGTTAGAATTCTTATTTACTAATAGTAAGGAAATAAAGTAGGAATTCTATTCAGTGGCACAGAAGACATAGTATTCCAATATTGATCTCAATTGTAAGTGAGTCTGTGGCTTAAACAATATTACCTGTAAAGTGTACATTTTTCCTTTTCATTAAAATATCTGTGATTTAGGAAATTAGGACAGATACAGTTGTGCCGATCAAACAAATCATTTAGAAGGCAAAAACCTTCCTCATGTAACTTTCTACATAACCTCTAGCTGCCTTTGCCTTTTTAATGAGAAATCCTAGTGTTTCTGAGCATATTTTGTCATGAAAGCAAAACTCTTAGGCACTGTCATCAGATTTTTCCCCACAAATGGAGGGCTTATCAATAATGAATGAAGTAACCTGTAAAGGGATGCAGGCAGTGTGAAGAAATGAAATAAATCCAGGTGAACCGTGCTGGCTGTGGGCGCTAGAGGATGTGTCTATAGTATCACTTTGGGGGCTTTTAAGAAGTCAGTCATTTGCTTATGCTGAGTTCTCAAAAATGCTATTTTCTACTTAGAATAGAAACATTCATTCATTAAGAGAGAATGTAGGAATTTTCGCACTTGGTCTCGTTTTATACACCTTGTATTAAAAGACTCGAAAGCAACATAAAGCAAAGCCTTTTCTCATTTGCTTGTTTTTCTTAGTTACAAAGGCGGTATCCTAAAAGCTGATTCTCAAAGAGTATTCTTTTAAGAATTGAATGGTGATGGAGTAGAGTTTTATGTCATTCAGGAAGAGAAACCGTTTCTATACTTTTGCTCTGCCCCTTGCTTTTACTTGGGGGAATGGAAATCAAGGATTTGTTGCTAAAGCTCAGATATTTTCCAAAATGTAGACCACCCAAACAATGGAGTGTTTTCTTTAGTGTGTCAATGTATGCTGTTCTCAGCAAAGGAGCCATGACAGGCCAGTGTCAAAAAAGTGATTCAAAAGCTCATAGTCAGGGGTGGAGTGGAGGAGTGGAAACCATTATGTTCTAGATGGGTGCCACCCGGAATTAGCACGTAGGAGATGGTGGCTGCCTCAACACGGGGCCGTCTCTTGGTGTAACGAGGGCAAAAAAATACTCGTTTGTAGAGTATGGCCGCATATTGCTGGCTTACTTCATTCCTTATCTCTTTTTAGCTAATTATTCTCAATCCCATTACAGAAATGGAAGCTAAGTTTAGCAAATTGTTTGGCCGTTTATGTTTAGTGCCCAAAATTCTTAATTAACGAAGTAAAATGCCACAGTCCATTGTAAATCACTTTGCTAAACTTTCAAACTTAATAAGAGATTCTGTCTGGTCCAAAAGCTACTTTCAGACCCCTGCTGATCTGGCACTCAGGTGTGATTCCCCATGGAGCCAAGGGAAAGAATGCAAAGGAAGCCAATTAAAAAAACTTTCAGCCAGAATAGACAAGCAGAGGCCATCTTGTCCATCCTTCTGCCTCGAGGCAAAAATCATCCGCTGCAATACAAATTTTTTGCTTGAATCCTGCTGACAAAAATGCTCACCACATGTAAATGACAAGTCATAATCCAGTTATTGCAGCGGAAGCAGATTGTTAAGTGTTCAAGACTTATTTATTGTGTTGTAAAGATGCTGAGCATAAAGCTCATTGAATTGTCTTACTTCCCCCTTTCTGGAAAATTATTTTGTACAAAAAATGTACTGAAATAATTGTCCAAATGGGTGGGGGGAGGTTTGTGTCCAGGAAATAAAGTTATCTTTATCATCTTATTAAGTATATTTTTGGTTTCCTTTCACTTTAGGCTTACCTTATGGGTGGGAGGAAGCTTACACAGCAGATGGAATCAAGTACTTCATCAAGTAAGTACAAGCATCTCAACCAAGTAAGCAAATTTCCTCACATCTGGAGAGAACCTGGAAGTTGCAGAATAATCAGCAAAACCAAGAAGCACTCTTGGAGGTTACAAAAATTAGAAACAAGAAATGAAGCCTCACCATTTTCATTTCATGTGATTTAAATGCTAATATCAGATGTCACTTGGGAGGGAGCGTAGGGATAATTTCAAGGGGAACAAAAAATTGGAGGATTATTATTTGAACTTAAATATATTGCCTACCTAAATTCACTCGCTGGCTATTAGAATTAATATTTATGAAAAGTTAATATCTAATGAAAAAGTCCACCTTTTATGTCTTAAAATTTCTTGATAAGACAAAAAAAAACCCACCACGTTTTAATGCTTTACAGTGTACACAGAGCATTCATTCTGCAAACATGTTTTGATTTGGTTTTTCTCCGGTACCGGGAACTGAACTCACGACCTTGCACTTGCCAGGCAGGCGCTTTGCCGCTGAGCTAAATCCCCAGCACCTGCAAACATGTTTTGAGCATTGCTGTTAGCCAGGCAATGTTCCACATCCTGGAGATACAGGAGTGAAATATATAGACCGGTTCCCTAATATGGAATGTTTATAAGAGTGAGATAGGGCAGATGGTAAATAACTGAAGACAAGACCTAAAGCCTGAGGAGGAATGCATTTTTTACTGCAGGAGTGGGTAGTTTTGCCCCGGCCAGGGCAGTGTGGTGTACTCCCACCATCTTCTGAGTAGCTCCTGTTAAATCAGAGTTTGTATAGAGGCGAGAACACAAAGAGAGATCCCAACAGACACCTGAAACCACAAGAAACGTGTTGTATTTTCCTTCTAGCAAATGGTATTCCTAGGCATTTTTTGGGAGAAAAAAAAAAAGAAATGTCCTTGCTGTCCTTTCTCATGTGCAAATACTTTCCAAAGCAGTACCCCGATTTGGGATTTTCGAGCCTTCTGACCTTTTAAAGGTTTCCTTTTCTCACTTAATCTCAGTTTTCTGATTCTAAAATAAGAGAAACATTACCGCCTAATGATAGGTACCTAGAAAACAACACTAACGCACTAGATGACCAGTGAATAGTTACTATTTTACAATATGGAGACACCACCATGGGGGCGCTGAGAAATCAGATCACCTTTCAAAAGATTGAGAATTCAAAAGTTTCACCGGACAGTGTTTTCCTGATACATTTTTTTGTGTCGTTCTAGTGATTAATAAAGCAAAGACGTACTTTATAATATAAGAAAGAGAAGGAATTTCTAGACCAGAGGACCCAGGAATTCCTCGTGCAGATTACATTTAGCACGATGCTATTCACTTCCACAATCCAACCTTTTATGGAAGGAAACTTACTCTCTGATATGCCTCGGCAGTCATGTTTAGTTTCCAGAAGATTTGAATCACTGTAGGTATAGCAGCAAAATAAAAAACCATATTACGATTTGTACTGGGTACTAGCTAATGCTCAATAGACATATACTAAGTGCATTTTTCTGTGAACTGTATCATGAAATCCTTTTTACACTGTGGAAAGTAGACGTCACTTGGCTCTTACTAATGATGGGATGGTGGTGAGCTCCCCATGCCTGCCTTTTGAAGGCCTCCCAAAGAAGTACAAAGGAAGGAAAGCTAGCATTCATTATTTACTGGGGTTCCACATTCAATGGCCGTGGAAGAATTGTCAATAAATAAGACTGAACCCTGTAGGGAACTCATTTACCTAAGCTTAGCTGTCTGTCAGTACATCATAACTCAGAGTTGAATGTCAGAGCCTAACTAGTGTCAAAAGAAGAAAGGACACTGTGGCAGTGAAGGTGGATGTCAACTTGCTTAGCTTTGGGATCCACCCAAAGGATTGGTGGAGCGTACTTCTGGTTATATCTGTGTGGATCATGAAGCCACGGCTTTAGTGCCTATGGTCTCTGGCTCGTTCCTGTTTGGATCTGTTCACCTGCCATCCTTCTCAGCTGCCATGAGCTAAGCCAGCTTGCTGCACCACACGCTTCCACCATGATGCTTCTGCCTTGGAGCCAGCTGCCTATGGATTAAGTCCCCTTAAAACATAAGCCAAATGAAACCTTTCTTCCTTTCTTGGGAATTGCATCCAGCAATGGAAAAGCTGGGTGATACAGATACCAAGGGCACAATTGACTTCAGCAACAACAACAGCAACACAAAGTCAACTTGTTTCGCTGCCCGGTACCCAGCTGACCCATACCGCCTAGAACAGCAGTCTAGGGCTGAGTTCCTGTTACAACAGGGAGACTGGAATCCAAGGAGAGTAGAGAAGTGAAAAGGAGGCACCAAACTCTAGGGCTGCCTGGATATCTAACTCGGTTCCTGTGGAAGGAATAGAAAAAGAGAGAGTATATTCACCCAGTACCCTTTACTCAACCGGAAACACCCCAAAGGGTGTGTTCTGGAAGTCCATCAGTTCTCTTCTTTGTCCTACCCTTGATACATAAAGAAAGCAAAAAAAAAGGGATGATAAAATAAATGTTCCAAGGTGCATTGGTGACTGTCATTGTCTCACCATTACAGTTGAAGAAACTGTTCGTTAAGGAGACTAAATTCATCAAGGTCACGTGTAAAATCACAGAGCCAAAATACAGATTCCAGGTTGTTGGCTCCAAAGCCACCCACCCCTCCTACACACGTGCTCGAGCGGCACCACCTCCCCCTCCTTATTTTAAGGTTATCTGTTGACATGTGACGAGAAAGACATTTTAAACAGATCTTGATTTAGGAAGAGCTCTATACTTTATCCATTTTAAAATAGCAGAATAGAAACTTCATGCTAAGAATAAGTAGTGATCTTTTGGGGGTTAGAAAGGTCAAAGAGTGAAAACAAGGGTATCTAACAGTATACCGGGGCCTCTTTCACCACACCTCATGGAGGAATGGGGTGCCTGCAGTAAGTTACATCTTTGTTAGAGCTTAACTCCTCTCAAGCACCAAGCCTTCTTTTACTGTACTGGCAGAAAGTCATACATTTGCTATGTATCGTGTACTTTCCTGCCTCCGTGTATAGAGCCCACTGAACAAGGTCATTATGAATGTCCATCATGATACATCATACTGTGAGTGCTGCCAGGGATTCTAAGCTGCATATGCCAGAATCGAGACGTAGCATTCATCTCTCACTGTTCTCCAGTGCTTGTCACACTGTCTTCCCTGGGAGTTTCACATTTGAAGAGGCCCATAGATAATCAGGCTGATTTGAGTTGCTCGTAAGCAGACCTTAACTACGGGTCTGCATAAGCTCTTAGGTGCTTTGAGTGCCTGAGTTTTGGTGCAGGTGGATTTGATTACAGGAAGGCTGGGTGGTAGGAAGAAGAGAGGAGCGTGCCTGGGCCTTGGTCTTGGAGAAATGTCTCTGAGAATAGCCAAACGGCCTCGGGCATTGTTTCTTTAACATCTCTGGGCTTTCATTTCCAGATTTGTCTAATGGAAAGTATATTAGGACTTCATAGAGTTGCTGTCCAGAGTGAATGAGCCGGTGTGTAGAAACAACCTTTTCACAGCGGCTGGCTCCAAGTAGACAGTTTGGCCTCGCTACTCCTCCCCTCAACATTTTCGCAGGGGGTTCCTGGTATTTCTTAGCCACATGCTGTTGGGTGATATTGGTAGATCAATAAAGTCTGCATAAACAAAGATCTGTTGATGTCTTTTTTAGAAGTATTTAGTATGTGTTTTGTTTTTAGCTTTATCCTTCTAAGGCCCCAACCAAAAATTTGAGCCCTGAACAGCCTGTGCTAACTCTTGAGGGGGAAGTGGTTCGTTTTTAGGTGGAAGGTACTTGGGAGGCAAGAAATAAGAGGTAATTAACTCAGAATATTGCTTCTCTCACCTTGGCTCAAAAAGAATGGCCAAAGTCACCCTCCCAGAACACTGAAGGAGACGATGGTCTGTATGCATATGATTTCTTCCCAGAAACTGGCATCTGTCACTGCTTCCCAGAAACTGAATTGTAACTTCTGATGGAAGTCAAGCCTCGGGCAAGGGAATGACTGTCAGCGCTATCTCGAGAATGGCCAAGTGTGTAGTCCTTGTGGAGAATTCCTATCCACCCTCACATCCACTGAGCATCTATTAATACTTTGTCACCTGCTTAAGTTTCAATGCCAGAAAAAAGAGCACTTTACCTGGTACAGACAAATCTAAACAGTGTTGCCAAAGCCAGGGTTTCAAGAATTAATAACTGTGTATGTTTTTGTGGATTATGTATGTGCAGAGATGCATAGATGTGTGTAGGCAAACTCACCTGCCAGAAATATGTATGTAAACCTATAAATGCATATATTTGTGTAAAATATATTAGTTCATTCTAGGAAAAATTTTTATGTTCTCCTTGGAGAGAAATTTTCAGCATTCTTAAACTTCTTATCAAATGTCCATTACCTTCGGTTGCTATAATGAAATTATCTAACATGATCTTTTTTCCACCAACTTTATATCTTCCCTGAAAGTTGTAGATTAGCATAGATTTGTAATATTCTTTTGGTATAATTCCACTTTAAGGTTCCTATAAAAAATATATATATACATATGTATATACACATATATCTATGTATCATTGTTATGAGTTATATTTTTTAGTAAAACTGAATTTATTTGTTACAAACTAGACATAGCTGCTAATTTCTCTCATAATGACTTTCTACGAAGAGATTTAAGTTCACTGTGATCATTGAGCATACTTATACTTTCTATTCCCACATAATAATTTTTTCCAAAGTTTTCAGATTAAAACAATAAACACTTATTTTCTCATGCAGTTTCAGAGCGTCAGCAGCAGTCAGCTTCTCTGGATAATGCTGATGCACTCTCTCTCCCTGGGTTCCTTGGAGTTGTCAAGCTGTTTGTTAACCGAGGCTGGGAACCGAAGAGGGGCTTAGTGGGCTGGTGAGAGACTTGCTCCAAGCTCACCCATGAGGCTGTGGGCAGCGGCTTCAGTTGTTCACCATATCACAGCCACGTAGGGCCATA